CCCCTCCCCTTTTTTCTTTTTTTATTGTAAGATAAAAATATGTGTGTTTGAGGTGGTATACATCTATATATCTCACCATATATGCATGCGTGTATATCATCTTGTATATCGTAATATACATTGTTAGATTTGGCAATATATTAAATCAGAATCAAATCGTCCATTTTGATTTTAAGAGGGAGAAATTCATTTTGAATAAACTTATTTCAATATCGTTCTTGTCAAAGAAAAAAATAAATTTTTGATATAACAGGTTTAGAGCAAGTTCTAAAATATAAAACAATAAATATAATCATGGGAATAAATAAATTTGATATACATTTTAATATATAAAGAAGGAAAATAAATTTTTGACATACAGTTTGATATACACAGAAGAAACATAAATTTGTGATATCCGTTTTGGTATACACATATTTGATGTGTCATATACTGTGATATACAAGCAATGCAAATATTTTTGTTGTAATATACATTTATATATAGACAAAAATAAATTTTAAACAACTATATTTATCATTTTATATTTTAGATATACAAAGAAGGAAAACAATAATATATATTTCGATATACACAAAGAAGAAAAATATTGTGATATACACATTCTTGTTGTGATATACATTTATTGGTTATCTCATGCCAATATTTATAACTAAGGCTTTTTTCTGCCAATTATGTAGATAAGTTGTCATACCATGCAAAAATCTCAAAAATAAAAAAAGGTTCCCTATGCAGAAGCCTAACACTTGGGACCAAAAGCCAATCTTTTTTTCTAGGAATTTTTTCATTTGTATACACTATATGAAACTTTATTACAAAAAATGTCCATGTTTACTTAATTACTCGGCCTAAACACGTTTTGTCTATAAATTATATATATTTATTTAAACTAGAATTCTTTCTGCATTAGCCTTCCTTTTTTAGACGCGAAATTTTGGGATCGCGTAGGATTCTGCAGAGAATTTTGCGACGCAATCATCGCAATTGAATTAAGCCTACTATTACGCCGATTTTCTCAGTTTATCATCGCCGATACTCTGATTTTCTCTGTTTCCTCTGGTTTCACAACCATAAGCGAAGGTTTTGAAAAAATAATTGCAAATAATTGTCTACAATTGTATTGAATTCTGCGACATAATGTCAAAAATAGCTATTATGCTTCAGCTAAATGGTAATTGGGATAGCTTTGGGAGATACAGAGATTTTAATGTTGACGGAATTGTAGTCAGCGATGATTCAAATTATAGTCAATTGAATTTTATAATCGCAGAGCATTTAATGATCAATATATCAGAAAAAATCATAGAAATCAAATACATTGTCAACGAACATTGTCCTCTAATGGAAATTCGGAACGATATGGGAGTTCGAGTATACATGGAGACGAAAAAGGAAAACAAAAGCTTAGGAATGTATCTACTATGTATAACAGTGCGTGATTTCGATTTGAAATGCAGTATCTCTAATTTGAACACAATTACAGGTTTGATCTGTTATTTCAGTGGTGATATTTTTTTATATTTCATGTGTTCTACAATTTCTCTACAATATTGCTACAAAAATACTACATAAAATGTGTAGTTCAACTGTTATGAATATTGAAGTATTGAATTTCACGTGTTCTACAATTTTACTACAAACTATCTACAATGTATGTCTGAACTGTAGTTAGCTTTAATTGAGTGCAGGTTTATCTGGAATACTGAAGTTGATTGATATGCCAACATCTCCAGCGATAGTGGAATATGAAAGTATCATCATAACAGAACATACACCAAATGTTATTGAAGTAGGCCAAGTCTATAAAGACAAGCAAACAATTGCCAGTGCAATGAAGTACTATTCTGTCATGAACAAGTTTCAATTTAGGGTAAAAAGGTCTAGCGCAAGAAGGTAGGAACAGTTCAATTGTCAGCATCATATTTTTGTTTAATTTGTAGTTCCTTTGTATCTTTTTGTATAGTTTGTAATATCATTGTATACAAATTGTATATAATTTGTAGTTTTTTGTATATAAATTGTTAAATATAAGATTTTTATGCTTAAACAGCCTATTATTTTGTAGCTACATTCTTCATAATATTCTTTAAAAAAAATTTATTCTGTACATGGCACTTCAAGTCCACCAGCATAAATGATTCAGCATTGTTCAAGGTTCGAAAATTCAACAGCTTGCACGCATGCTCTTTGATGGACAATACATACATACAACTCAAACCTACTGCCATGGTAGTTGGTAGCATGGTTATACCAAAATATGCGGATCCTAAGACAATTTACATACCAAAAGACATACAAACTGATATGTTGTCGGAACACGGTGTGAACTTAACATACATGCAAGCTTGGAGAGCAAAGAAAAATGCTTTGAATTTTTTGAGAGGTCATCCGGCTGATTCCTACAATCACTTGCCAAGTTATTTGTATATTCTGGAGAAGACTTATCCGGGGTCGTTAGTTAAATTGCAGAAGACTAACGATTACTGTTTCTTTTACGCATTTGTTGTGCTTAGTACGCCCATCAAGGGTTGGGAGTATTGTAGGCCAGTTGTAGCAGTTGATGGGACCTTCTTGAAGTCGGTATATAGGGGAATAATGTTAACAGCTAGCACAATAGATGCAGCAGGTATTGTAGATTAATTGTAGAAATATTGTTGTAAATTTGTTTTTTAGTATGTATTTTTTTTCATCTCCAGTTTTATTATGGAAATTGAATTTCTTTTTGCCACCTGTGATAGGTAGCATATTACCACTGACATATGCTGTTGTTGATTCAGAAAATGACGCATCATGCAAGTGGTTTTTTGAGCAATTCAAACATGCGTATGGTGAAAAACCAAATATGTGTGTTGTTTCGGATCGGAATGCGAGTATCTTGAAGGCAACATCTATTGTTTATACCGGCATGCCATATTATGCTTGCATGTGGCATATTTGGATAAATATAAGGTCAAAATTCAAGAAGGGTCATCTAAAGTTAAGCGAATTGTACTTTGTCACGACACGATCATACACGCTTGATGAATTTAATGAAAGAATGTCAAAGATTGAAGAGATCGACACACGTGTTAAAGCATACCTATACGATATTGGCTATCACAGATGGTTTCAGGTACAAGCTACGGTGAACATAACGTGGATGATGACATCAAACATTGCAGAGTCATTGAATGCGGTAACAAAATATGCAAGAGAGTTGCCCATAGTAGAACTATTAGAGTACATGAGGATTCTTCTTACTAATGAAAAGTTATTGAAAGCAAAGGGTACATTCACATACCTTGGAAAAAAATACAATAAAGAGTTGGAGGACAACAAGACATTATCGCAAAAGATGAGAGTAAGTTATATCCAGTAACATCAGATCAATGATTCCATCAAACTAAATATATAATGTTAATTATAGATAAAATATTGTATAATTGTAGTTATTTTGTATATGTTTCTGACAACTTGTTGTGTGTTTGTAATAAAATTGTAGGTGAGGGATTCAACAGATCACATCCATACAGTGATAGATGGTGTGAAGCGCTTAATTGTTTGTCTTCAAAACAAGAGATGTAGTTGTGGACAATTCCAGCTTGATGAACTTCCTTGTGCACATGCTTTGGCGGCTTTGAGGCACAGGAATGAGTCTTATGAAAACTATTGTTCTCCTTATTACACGAGGTAGAGCCTTTTGCATACTTATGAAATACCAGTAGACCCGTTGCCTGACGAAATCAAATGAAATGTGCCACAACATATAGCTGAAGAAGTTGTAATGCCACCTATTGGGAAAAGACAATCAGGAAAACCTCAAAAACAAAGATACAAACCATATAATGAAGTAAATGCAAAGAAGTACAAGGTTTCATGTGGCAACTGCGGACTAAAAGGGCATAACAAAAGATAATAAAATTTAATAAAGTCATAAGATTTTTTGATAAATTGTGTTGAGGTGTTCTGGAGAAATATAGTTGAGGTGTAATTGTGTTGATAAAATGAATAAAGACTGTCTCCTATAATGAAATATTTTTAGCTCTTAATGCAATTAGTTTGTATTTGTTTTGTTTAATTATTGAGTGTATTCATTTCAACCTTTCATAACTTGATTGGATTATGCATTTTTTTTATATATATAATATATAATTGTAGTTAAGTTATAAAGAAATTATATGCTAATAATAACGATATCAAGTACTAACAACTTTCAACAAAAAAAACCAGATGTTTCCTATTCTAAGTAGCAGCATCCTGGATAAAATAACAAAACATAGGGTAAAATAATTGTAGCACAAATCTACTATAAATAAACTTTAACTGACTTGTTCTTAAATAACAATTTGTCTACAACTTTACTACAAAATAGCTACAACTAAACAATTTAACTACAATGTTTCTACAGAAAATGGCAACTAATTCTTCTTCTTCCGTACTTGTGTTCTTGTAGTTGATGTCTGGACACTTACCATAGAAGCCAGTGCATGACAAGTAGAGGAGGATCATAACAGCAAACTTGTTGACAACAGATTCAACAAGGTTGTGATTTCGTGAAGAGACCATAGAATCATAAACATATAGAACCTTATCGGTAATGTCAAACACAACCAACAACCAATAAAATTTCTCCACAATGTTTATGGGCATAATCACAAAATCAACTTGATCCCATGCAACATTTGCGAGTAACCTGTACCCCAATATGTATTCGGATACGACGTCCTAGGGTTTGACAACATCAAACTTTTTATCGGCAGGAGCATTGATGTACCTCTGATAAATTTGTTCAATTCTAGTCTTGAATATACAATCAGTAGATGTAAACCGTATTTTGTTTTGAGGACTATACTGTTCTCTCTTTCTCAAATAGTATAAAATAACATCAATGTGCTGCATAAAAACAGATTTCATTATTTTTCAATGCTTCATACAATTTAACTACAATTTTTAAACAAAAAAATTACAAAATCTTTAGATGACAGAATACTACATCTAGTCATTAAATTCTGCCAGGGTATGTATTTACCGTGTCATTGAGGACTTGCCCGGGATGTGCCAAAGTATAAAATCACTCCTTTTTATCAACTTTCTCGACTCCAAGATCATACCACGGCTTAAGTTGGTTATCTTTTACAGAATAAGGTGCCTTCCTTATATTTAAACACATAGCAATTACAATAAATATGTAGATTTAAGTGAAAATTCAAAAGATGAATGCACTCGAAAATATGAACAAATTATATAAACTAACCTCTTTGAAACTGTATCGGTACCAAAGTATAACCACTTATTAAATTCTTCCAACAAGTCAGAATCAACATCTTCGCCAATAACCCCAGTAAATGGATGTTTGATGAGAAAAATTGGAGGTCCAACAGAAGTGCTCCCCCCAGAACTATAAAAAGGGAGAAAGGAGGATCTGACATGCTTTCCAGGCTGCCTTGTTCTTCCTTGATGCACAGGGGTTGTTTCATCTTCATTAAGCTCGCCGAACTTAACAATCTGGGAGAAGCTCTCTGGCACCTCAAAATTATCAAGTGTTACTTTCCTTTTTTCAGATCTGGAGTCATTGTCCGAATCACCTACATTAATGTAGTCAACTGGTTCACCTTCAAAATTTAAAACAAAAGAATAAGAAGACATGTTGCATTAGCCCTTTATTGAAAATTGAAACTTATATTAAACCTATTTTTTTCCTACAATTATAATGTAATGTATAATACCACTTAAATCTTCACAACAATCATCTCTTTGTTGTATAACGTTCTCTTCTTGAATGGGAGATTGCATTTTTGTCTCCTTCTCCTCATTTTTTTGTTCTCCTGGAATGCTTAATGTAGCTTCCTGTTTTGGAGATTCTACATGCATAGTTTCCTTCTCTATTACAATAAATATGTATAACTTAATAAAATTATAGATAATTTGTGGTAAACATTAACATCACTGCATATAAATTGTAGTTTAATTGTAGTAAATTTGCTGAAATGTTGTCCTGCAGCTGATATGCAAAATGTATTGTGAAATGTGATGATAACATGTACTAAATCTGTAACGACCCGGCTGGTCATTTTGAGAGTAATAGCCCTGATCCCCTATTTACTTCTTCTCCCATATCTATTTCTGCTATTGTAACTTGCCGGGAGGTTTCGTTTTGGCCATTGGAGTGTTTTGGGACACTTAGTCCCTAAATGGAGAATTAAGCATTAGGATTTGGACCGTAGTCGAAACTGTATAAAGACGACGCCGGAATGAAGTTTCGTCAGTTCCGTTAGCTCCGTTAGGTGATTTTGGTCTTAGGGACGTGTCCGAATTGTGTTTTGGAGGTCCGTAGCTTATTTAGGCTTGAAATGGCAAAAGTCAAATTTTTGGAGATTTGAACTGGTAGTGAAAATTTTGATATCGGGGTAGGATTCTGATTTCAGAAGTAGTAGTAGGTCCGTAATATTGAATATGACTTGTGTACAAAATTTGGGATCAATCGGACGTGGTTTGATAGGTTCCGGCATCAGTTGTAGAAATTTAAAGTTTCAAGTTCTTTAAGTTTGAATTGGAGGGCGATTCATGATTTTAACATTGTTTGATGTGGTTTGAGGGCTTGACTAAATTTGTATTGTGTTTTAAGATTGGTTGGTATATTTGGTTGAGGTCCCGGGGGCCTCGGGTGAGTTTCGGATGCCCAACGGATCAATTTCTGGACTTAGGAGGTTGCTGAAGTTTTCTAGTATGTGAGTTTTGGTTTCCATATACGCAATCGCGTGGGGTGATCCATGATCGCGTAGGCTTAGCTGGGTAGAGGATGGAATTATTCTTCGCATTCGTGGACAAGGGCACGCGAACGCGTAGTAAAGTGAGGTGGTGCTTCGCGAATGCAGAGCCAAGGTCGCAGTAGCGTAGTGTTAAGTGGACCAAAGCTGGGCCACGCGCTTTGCTCATCGCGAATGCGTTGGGGTGTTCGCGATCGCGTAAGTATGAGAGCCAGAGCATCGCATTCTCGTGGTGTTTTACGCATTCGCATAGAGTTAATTTATGGGGAAGCAAAGTTCTTCTTCGCGATCGCGAGGCTATTTCCGCGATCACGATTAAGGAATCACTGGGCAATATTAAAGTTTCCAAAAAATTAGGGTTTTGCCATTTTATCAAAAACTTGAGTTGGGAGCTCGGATTTAGACGAGATTTTGAGGGATTTTCAGAGGTATCGATTGGGTAACGATTCTTAACTCCTTTATGGTTATATTTCACTAATCCATCATTAATTTCCTCTTTAATTTCGGATTTTGGGAATGAAGTTAGGAAAAAATTGGAAGAACTTCTTCAACAAAGATTTCGAGTTTTAGAAGGGGATTTGTGGTCGGATTTGAGTAATTTTTATATGGTTAGATTCGTGAGTGAATGGATGTTCGTATTTTGTGACTTTTACCCGATTCCGAGACGTGGGCCCGAGTCAACATTTTAGGACGAATTTCGAAATTTTTATTAAAGTCTTGATTTCATTAATTAGGTCAGCCTATTATAGTTGTATTTATGATATGTAATTGTTTTGGTTAGATTTGGGCCATTCAGAGTCGGATATTCGTGGGAAAGGCATTGTGACCGTTTGATTGAGCTTGGTTCGAGGTAAGTGGCTTGCCTAACCTTGTGTGGGAGAACTCCCCGTAGAATTTGTATTGTTTTTGATACATGAGCGCCGTGTACGTGAAGTGACGAGTACGTACACGAGTAAATTGTGTAAAAACCTAATTTTTCTACTAAGTAATAACCTGATTTCCTTCTTATTTGAGTTCCATCAGCATGTGTAGTATCCGGTTAGACTGGAATAGCATGCCTACTTGCCTTAACTGTTTACTTGAACTACGTGCAACATGTTTAGTGAATTTACCGTCTTTCCTTAACTGGTACTTAGGTTGAACTGTAGAATTTCGTGCCGTAACTATTGAATTCTATTGTTTGGCTGCATATTTACTTTGGGACTACGGAACGGTATTCCGGGAGATCCCCCTATTCTGCACATTTACGTTTGGGACTACGAGACGGGAGATCCCCATGTACTGCATATTTACTTTGGGACTACGAAACGGTATTGCGGGAGATCCCCCTGTTCTGCACATTTACATTTGGGACTATGAGACGATATCTAGGGAGATCCCATGTAGTATTTCTGTGTACTGAGCTATTACCTTCTATGAATTCTTCCTTGTTAAATTTCAGTTTTTATTTTACTGCGATATTTCATTCTTGCCTTGCTTTATTGTTATTTATACTAGTAGGGTCCTCACCTGACCTCGTCACTACTCGATCGAGGTTAGGCTTGGCACTTACTGGGTACCGATTGTTGTGTACTCATGCTACTCTTCTGCACATGTTTTCGTGTGCAGATCCATGTGCTCCTTATCAGCTGCGCTATCAGTGAGCCGGGACAACTTTGGAGACTTCAAGGTATATCTGTCGCATCTGCAGACCTCGGAGTCCCCTTCTACTCTTTCCCAAGTCCATTATCTTCTGTATTTTTTTTTGTTAGACTTTGATATATAAAGACACTAGTTTTTCCTTCTGGAGTTTGTGATTCACGATGTTCCGGATTTTGAGATTTTTCTGTATATTATTGAATAGTTAGTTATTGTACATGCCAAGCGGCATGGTACCCAATTATGTTGCTATTGCTACGGTTAGTTGTTAAATTTATATTTTTATTTC